TGTCCTACCTGAGACACCCTGTCCTACCTGAGACACCCTGTCCTACCATGCTGCCTCTGACTCTCTGTATTCAGCTCCTACATCAACAGATAAAGTATTGTGTTTTTACTGCCACCTGAATTCAGTCAGCTTTAAAAAGGTCAAGAAAATAATGTGTAAATTATGAAGATAGTAGATTAAGTTAGAGAAAAAATCAGTGACTTTATGAATGTAAATTATAACAGGGAATATCATCAGAGTGGACCTGGACTCAATCTTAGCATTAAAATACAGTTTAACTTATTAAAAAAACCTCAATAATAGATAATGTCATCACTAAGTGATTGCTAACGTTAGCTGATAGACAACTAGCAGCAAGCTAACTTTTCATAAGAAAAATAACTGTCCTGTCCTACATTTTGACTTATTTTTGGTCCTTTGTAWAGAATAAAGTTTTTCCAAGAGCTGGACGTTTTCAGACCATTATCTGCTCCAGCAGCTCTGACCACCRCGTTGTTTACAGTAGGCAGCTAGCCCAGCGCGCGCGCATGTGTATGTGTGTGTCTGCACTTCAGAGAAAAGGAAGGGAGGGGGAAGGGGGAAGGTGTCTCAGGCTCACAGCAGCACTTCTGAAAAGTGTGAGATGAGAAGCATGAGTGGGGAGGGGGCGGAAGAGAGGAACCGGGTGCAGTGTACTTTTTAACTTTTTTTCCCCAGAAAAAAGTAGACGCAGCAGTTGCTGCCGCGCTTGTTACTGTCGGACAATGTAGATGCAYGCAAAGGAAAAAAGATGTGCGAATATTCGTGGGGACTGTCCCTGTCCAGCCAAAGTTGGTGGGGACATGTCCACACCAGTGCTTCACAAAGTTACGCCCCTGCTTGAAAGTCTCTCTTTGGACTTGTTTTGACTTTGAGCTGGATCTGGTCTCAGGTCCCTCTCTGAGATCAGAAAATGAACTTTGTTCAGACTCACAAGTTTCTTCCAGTGGTGTGAATCTGTTTTGAAGAAAAACTGCTCCATCTTCATTTCTCTGGCMGTTATCAGTTGTTTTGATTCCACTCWGTCGCTGCGTTCTTCTCCTTGCTGGTGGAGAAAAAGCATTTCTCTGTAACTCTGGCCATTTGTTGTCACCTAAGAGCTGAATCCTTCCTGAGAGAGTTTTTGGTCTGGCACCCAGAGAGTTGCATACAGCTTGACCCTCAGAAGCAKCTTCCATCTCCTTATCCAGTTGATCTCTCATCTCAGCCTTCTCACCCATTTGAATGCATGTTGAGTTCTCCAAAGCATTCATCTTTTCCAGACGATGAATTTTGAGCTCCAACACCGTCACCTTTTGGAGAAGCTGGCAGAAATCCTCTTTGGAAAAGAAAGGAGGTATCTTGAAGCTTTTCTGTACTCACTCCCAGCAGGTGTTTCAAAATCTGCAGGTTCTTCAACCAAAACTAAAGTCCAATGGTCTCTGCTTTTTCATGGTCACCAAATTATAGGAAAAAGCGTTGCTCAAAATGATATGTCCGAATAAACATGAATCAGCTGGACTTCTTAAAACTTTATTTTCAATTTTCTGACTCCAATCAGGTACACAGTACAGCACTCAGCACAGAGGCCTCAGTAAGACCTTGGGCTGAACCAAAACACAGCTGCYCTGCTCTGAAGCAGAAGCTGTGCAACCCACTGAAAACGTCTTCTACTATCATAATGAATTGACCTTATAATGGACATCTCTTCCTGGTTACATCAGACATCAGAAYGTAACTCATTTTGTTTACACTAAAGAAAGAACACATGATAAGACACACCTACTCTTTGTCTGCTTTAACCTTACAGGATGAAATGAYCAGAAGTATAAAATACAATACTGCATCTAACATTCAATTAATCACTTACAAAATTTCCTTCACTTTGATGAAAAATCCAAAACTATTATAACCTTGCTCTAGTTCTAAACTATTTTGCTAGCATAAATACAGAGTTAACTATAAACCATTAACAGTATATTTTAACATCTTGTACATTTTGTTCATTCAGAGTATTAGCAAAGGAAATGTTCTGTAAATATCTGTAAARCTAAACTCTATCAGGTAGTTGGCTGTGGCAGCCGTCTTGAATCACGTCAACTCTAAAAGTTAATAAGTTGTTGRTATTTTCAGACACAAACACACCGATGAAAACGTTATTGTCCACTTTAGACTTTCAGTGGTGGCAAATGATGAAGAAATCCCAACATCATTTTGAGTCTAAGCCCCATTTGTTTACCTGAGACCACCTCCCAGCAGCATCTGAGTTCCTCCTCCATGTTGTGTTTTGTGACGTCTGAAACCTGTTCTCCTCTGCCCTCCCTTCCAGACCATGAGCGGTCACGAGCACAACCATTCGCTGGACTTCCTGAACGGCACCCCGTGGTTCCTCTATGAGTGYACCCTGGAGATCGACACCAGCTACAGACGCATCTCCCTCTTCCTGCTCTACCTCTTCATATTYGTGGTGGGCCTGCTGGAAAACCTGCTGGTGGTCTGGGTCAACTGGCGTAGGCGCCACTCAGCCAGCGGGGTGCTGTTCTGCATCATCAACGTGAGCCTGTCGGACCTGATGGTGGTCGTGATCCTGCCCTTCTTCATGATGGAGGTGACCATAGACAAGGTGTGGCTGTGGGGCCGCTTCCTGTGTAAGGTCACCAGCCTCATCTACGTGATCAACTTCTACAGCAGCTCTTTCTTCTTGGCCTTCATGACCTTGGAGCGCTACCTGTCCCTCACCAGACCGTCCGCCCCACCTCTCTTCCCTGTGGTGGGCCGGCGCCGCTGGGCGCTCTGCGGGGCGCTGTGGGTCTTCTCTCTGTTCCTGGCCCTGTTAGAGAACGCCCACATGGACCTCCTGCAGTGGGAGGAGCCGGGCTGCTACCTGCTGCCCGAGTACAGCTACACCGAGTGGTACGTGTCCTTGGCCTTCCTCTGCATGATCTTCCAGTTCCTTGGCCCGGCGGCGCTCATCATCACCTGCAACGTGCTCATCGCCCGAGCGGTCCGAACGGCGCCGGATGTGGAGAGTCGTCGGGACGTGTGGCTGGTGCACGTGTACTCTTCGGTGTTCGTCCTGTGCTGGTTCCCCTACCACCTGGTTGTGCTGCTGATGATCATCGACGACCTCGACCCCTTCCTRTTCAGCTGCAACGCCGTGGAAGTCCTCTACTTCTCCTACCCCGTGGTGCAGGGCTTCTCCCTCTTCCACTGCATCGCCAACCCCATTCTCTACAACTTCCTCAGCAAGAGTTTCCAGAGCAACCTGCTGAACACCGTGATCAACTGCCTACCCAAGGAGAAGGCAGTGGAGCAGGTGGAGGCGGGGCCAAAGCCCAACACTCCTAACGGAGGGGACCCGGGGAAGCAGCGCAGGCTAAGTAACAGCAGCACCAGCCATTCTGATGTTGGCTCATAGGAAGCTTCAGGCGAGAGACTTTTTCTGTTATTTAGTTTGAATTCTTTGTTTCAAACTGCAAATAAAACAAGAAAAACACAGTATGTAAAAAAATTTCAAAAGATGATAAAAAGAAAAC